CAATCAGTGTCTATGGACGGCTTCTCATGTATGCTCGTGTTCATGCGAGTATACAAATATGTTTTTGAATGTCCTCTCCCCAGTACATGTTTCATCTAGGTCTTGTCACTCTTCTCACAGCGGCTCATTAATAGCACTGAAGGATCCAAAAGCAAAGCTTTCATTGGGCGATGTAATTAAAGCTCCCTAACAGAGTCAAAGTTTAATTAGCCTTTTGGGAAAGCCGAGAATCGTTGATGAGAATTTCACTCTGTTCCCTCTCTCAAATGTGTTTCCTCTCTCACTTCCTCTCCCTTTTCCCTCGCGCGCTCCCCTTTTTTTCCCCCCCGCTTCCCTGTTTTGCTTTGAGCGCAAAGTAACGTGACACAAATGTCAAAGAGGGTCAGCGCTCCCAGCTCTTTCTCATCTATTCATCGGGGTCCTCTCCTCCGTGCCCTGTGCTTTTGTCTATTCTGCATTCACTCTGAGCTTCTCAGCAAATGTGTGAATGTGGCTGCACCCAAATCATTGCCTGAGGTTCCTCACTTAGCACCAGCCAGCTGAAAATGCCCTAGTAGAATGCACTTGTGATAAAACCAGTTGCATCCCTTTGAAGCAGCACAGTTCTACCTCTGCAGGGGACCAGCTGTATGTGCTGCAGGAAGGAGTATCGATCCCTGAATTCACAGCATCATATCTTGCTCGGATTAATAGAAAATCTCCGGCTTAACATTTTTCATTCCTGAAGGCAGTTCAATAAAAAGGAGCTGCATTCTGTCATGAAATGAACAACACTGGGGAATTGGTGCTCTCATACAATGTGGAGGCACACAGGCATGTGGAGCTGGGATGGAGAGGGGACAATGTTGATTCTCTTCTCCTTCTAAACAGTTTTCACCGAGGCTTATCCGACCCGGCTGGCTCGCCACGCTGGAACTCTTGTGGCATCTGGAAGGTGTGATACGGAGAATGTTTGTTGTTTCTCAGGAGAGAGAAAACTTTACACCCACAGAGAGAGAAAGACAAGTGTCTGTCTGGTAAGGGGAGCATGTCTGCCACTGTATGTGTGTGTTTGTGTGGGCATTGAGAAAGAGTTGTTTTTCCCCATGGGAGATTAAGCCTGGGCATAGCATCCAGTGAAAAACTCTCATTTCTCCTTCTGATAAGAAGGGAATTGAGTCTCTATTTCGGTCCACACCACCTACAGAGTAAACCGCAGGAGAATGCTGCTCTCCAGTTCTCAGCACAGGTTCAGAGCCGTTCTCCTCACACAAACACACCGATTGCTATAATCTCCTTCCATTTGCAGTCCAACATATATTCTATTCAAACCATTGAATCCCCATTCCTGAAAAAAACTTAAATCTAGGAAAATGAAGTGTTTTCTTTTTACAAAATAACACATTGTGCTGCTGACACTTGTCAAGGTTGTCTACATTCAAGAGATTTGGTGGCAATCTGGCCTTTATGTTGTTTAATCATGTCGAATCCATACTCAGATTACTGAGGTATTTAAAAAGGATGTTTACATTTCTGTGTTTGTCAAAGCCTTTTTTTTTCAGCAGAAATGTCTTCCGAGGATGGGTCTGGGGAACTAAAGTGGTACGATGTATAAAGTTTCTCTACTCATATGCTTTTGGCAGAGTGACAATGTGTTCAAATGAAGCGTACTTAATATGCTATTTCCTAGAGAGAGCCGAGTGTGATATGATTAACGCCACAGAGAGTTCTAATCCTGTCGCCATGTGCTAATTGTTCAGTTATCTCTTGTGAAATGCTAAATGTGTCCAAAAGTGTCCTGAAGTATTTTCAAAGCAAAGTCCCTCTCTCCTCCTCTGAATCTAATAATAAACTATTTTTCATTTGAGATGCTCATGTATTTTACAGAATATGTTTGACTTAATCTACCCAGCGATCTATAATATGCAAAGCAAGTGCGCCTTTATGAACTCATTTTAAAAGATTGGAAACGTCCCAGGTGTTATTAACGGCTTTCAACAAAAAAAACGTTGTGCTAATTGAATTCCAAGAAGTTAGCACTGTAATAGCAAGTGCACTCACACTGTTTTAATAATATGTTTCACTGAGGCAAATTTTGTTTCAATTTCACCCACAACAGTCATTTAAATCTGTCCATTCAACAGATATCTAGTCAGAGACAATCTTTCAGGATAAGATGGCTTTAAATGTAGTTCTGCCTATTATTATTTTGACAACTTTTTAGAGGAAGTAGTCATTGAACCGCATTGTACGTTGTTCTTGGTAGTGTTCAAGTATGACCAGCCTAATAGAGCTAGAAAGCACAGAGCAGGGAGTGAAACGCATGGCCTTTAACATGCACCTCCTGTCATGGTGTCAGAACGTTAGCTGACCCTCTGTTCCCACTGACAGCCACCGGGCCTGAACAAGCTGCGTTTCCGCGCTGGAACTGTCATGTCTTGTTAAAATGTGGGCAGGAGATTGGTGAAACAGCAGGGTAAACGCCAGATACTACCACTTGGCTGAGCTATTTATGAACCACGGTGCAGAGAAGTGGCTGCTGCTTTAAAAACCAATAAGGAAGAAGGGTTCAGGGTACACATGGACAACCAGAGCTGCATACAGAGAGGTTTGCCGTCAGGTAAAAGTGGAGGAAGGGAGATTGCAGTAGTCTAGGCGAGTTCTTTTGTTTTTGGATAGCAAGTATTGTGAAGGCAGAACTTCCTGAGTTGACTCACCATTTCCAGGCTCACACTCCTCCAAATCTTCGTCATCGCTAGGACACTCAGCTGATGCTACCAAGAGGTCATCCGCATTCTGAAAGCACAGAGACACAAAGCAGAGCAGATACAGTCAGGACACATTTTATAGGAGTAGAGGATACACAGAACATCTGAGAGGATTCTGTAGAAGTCACAGCGAGGCTCTCCTCTCCACTGACACAAAAGATAATCAAGGAGAGGCCAACTTAAGAAAGATCGAAGGTAAAAATGTTTTCTTAGGCGACATGACGGTTATTGTTGGTCAGTTTTAGCAGTAGGACATTTAAATACTATGGTGAGTTGCTTTTCCTATTAGTATTAGTTATTTTTGTATGATTTGAAGTCAAAGTAGAAAATGCATCTGACCAAACACCAACCAATCAAATCAATGTCTGTCTATCTTCCTACTACACGACTCAAAAGGCTGTACCCTGACCCCCCCTCCCCTCACCGTGTGGTTGTTATTCAAGATGGGGTGAACGATAGAAAAGACGGGGCTTTTATCAGCCTAATTGACTCAAGAGCCACATTGTCGTTTGGCTCTGTTATTAATCCAGGGCCTGGGCGTAATCATTTCATAACCACAGTGAGTGTTTGTTTACATCACCTGGCTCTCAAATTGGCTGAATGAACATCTCCGTCGAACATGCACTCACATTTCTATTCCATCCATGCAATGCTACTGTTTTCCTCGCTCCAAATAACACGGAACATCATGAATCAATTCAAATGTGCACTTCTTTAAATTGAGCGACCTGGACATCAGTACGGCAGAGTGCTTGAGGCCATAATAACACAATTACTTGCTGACTGAATGTCAAATGGCTGAATCGGCCTCAGCATCCGCGCAGAGTTAAAAGAACTAATTGTCACAAGGCCCACTAACCCAGTGCACTGCTGGAGGAGGAGCTTAATACTCCCGTTTGACCTGGTCCGAACTTTTCCTATCCACTTCCAAGTTGAATCCACGAGGAACTTCAAACACCTTGCATCCATCCAGCCAATCACAGAGATCTCCAGCACCTGGGAGTGCTCTCGACTGAAGACAGTAGCAGCCAGCGAGCAGGAGCTTGTGATCTTAGTTTTATAACACCCAAACACAACATTTGGGTCAGAGCGAGACAAGAGATGACTGCCAACTGTTTCATGCTGTTCCACAGTATGGAGGGTTGCAGGATTATACCCCACACACACACATCAAAAGGTAGATCTTTTATTCTAAGCATCAAAGAACATTTTTCAACGATGATCAAAGCTGCAGCGCGGCCGGTAGCTCAGAGCTTTTGGAGAAATTGAAATGTGTGTTTCCGCTCTCTTGCTTTCCGCCACCCTGGCCTGTCTCCGCTGTGGCTTGGCGGGAGTTGGGGATATTCATTAGAGCTCCATAGTTGTTAGCTTTGCCGAATCGCAGTATTTAAAATGCTATTACCATGTTTGCTCTAGCACAAAATAACACCACAGGCTCTTCAGGATAGATTATTAAATGCCCAATGAGTGAGTATACTCTAAAGACATATGTATGTCTTTATAGCACAGCACTGACTGTCAGTATACAGCTGCAATCTATATGTTAAAATAATGGTGTACATTCCTTTCTCTTATAGTTGTAGACCCTAAAGTTATCCTGCACTATGTTCAATATTTCTTAAAATTGTTTCAGATCAAAAAAGGATGATACACAATTAAAATAACTATCACAGATTTATCCAATCATCTTATTTATTGTATATGTTGAAGGTAAATAAGCATGGTTACTGATTTTCTATTCTTTGCAGTATTTATGACTGACACATCTGCCTCCACCCTCTTCCTGTCTTTCTTCAGATGCACTAATAAATGCAAAAAAGAAATTGAACATTTCATCTGTAAAAGTTGTCAATTGCCTATGATCACACTACAGCCACCATGCTGTTTTTAAGTGAAGCTCAACACGCGTTCCACTGTTTCCACTGCACACATTTGAAGAGAAATTAGAAATTAATTAAATCCCAAACCTTTCATGATGTTTTGCTTAATTTGACTTAACAGTTTTACGAACATTTATTATTTCCCCTTTCATTTTCTGTCTGTCGAGGGGGAGCAGAGGAGCTTGCCAGGCCTTCAGGACCGCCTCCCAAATAACAACAAATTCCAGAATAAACATTATTCAGTCACACCAGGACCCTCTGAATGATCTGCGTCAGCCAACTCTACACCTCAATAATGCTTTTGTGTTTTTGTGCGCAGGGCAAAATATCTTTGATCATTACAGCATGTGGATGAGTGACTCAGGGCCTTCAGATCTGGCAACAGAGAGGAGCTGAAGACTGTACAGAGGGAGCTGAGGTGGAAAATCAGAGAGGCGAAAAACAGCTACAGGAAGAGGATGGAGGAACAGCTGCTGCAGAGGAACGTCAGTGGAGTCTGGAGAGGCCTGAAAACCATCTCTGGCTACAAAGAGCCAGACTCCCAGGTCCGGGGGGACCGCCAGTGGGCAAACGACCTGAATATCTTATTCAACAGATTTGATCAGTCATGCGCCTCCCTAGCCCCCGACCCATTCCCCCCTGCTGCACCCCCCATTGTCCCCACTGCCTGGAAATGGCCCTGTTACCTCTCCCACCACTACTCAGCCCCGTGTTTCAACAAACATAAATGGCCGTCCGTCCCCACCAATGTAGTGTTGTGTAGACGCTAAGCTAGTCCACCACGACATCCTCCAATGGATCCCCGTCACGGACCAACATTTCAGAACTGGCGACGTCCTTCTTCCTGGACGCCATAGAGAGGCACATTAGCCACCCGTCTGTGTGTGTGGTGTGTCTCGGTGGTGTGGTGAGTCGTCGGATGTCGCTGCTGTGTGTCACTCCGCTGTTGTGCTGCTCCTAGCATGTGATCGCTCTGCACGTGTGTCTGTGTAAGAAGGTCGTTGCAGTGGTGTGTCGTGTCCGCTCGCTGTGTGATCGCTGGTGATGTGAGTGAGAGTGGTGTGAGTGGTGTGTGTGTTGTGGTGTCTCTTGTTTGTGTGTGAATGTGTGTGTGCTGGAGGTGTCTCTCTGTAGTGTGGTGTTGTGTGTTGTGTGTGTGTGTGTGGTGTGTGTGTCGTGTGTGTGTGGTGTGTGTTGTGTGTGTGTTGTGGTGGTGTTTCTCTCTCTGTGTGTGTGAGTGGGTGTGTTGGTGTGTGGTGTGTGTGTGTTGTGGTGGGTGTGGTGTGTTTGGTGTGTGTGAGGTGTTCACAGGTCTTCTGAGGGGTCCTGTCTCGACCGGAAAGGAATGGTCTGAGCAAGTCAGAGAAGGGCGTGGTGTCGTGCGCCTCTTGTCTTTGTTGGGTGTAGTCGTGGTGTGTGTGGGTCGTGTGTGTGGTATCTTTCTACCGACTACGGTGTTGTCTCAGTTGCTTCCAGGATTCCTCACGGGGACGTGGAGTATTTCTGGAGTCGAGGGTCGTCTTTTCGTAGTGTGTGGCGAGACAAGGGAAGAACATGTCTCGTACGTATTTAACAGTCAGGTCAGGTCAAATCCAAGTAAACTTGTGGGTCCATAAACATCCTAAGGTGTTAGAGTTACAGACGGACGTGCCAAGTCACAACCACGGCACTTTAGGTGGTGTCGAGGAACCGAAGCGACGCAAGTCGACTCCGACCGTGGTCTTCCACTTCAGGAAGCAGTCGAGGGACATGAAGGGACAGCCAGGAGCAACCACTACTCCAGTTGCTACGCCTCAGCAGTTCTCTGTAAGACGTCACTGTCCAACGTCACAACACCAACTTCAGACGTCACGATCTCCCACTTCTCTTGCCACGGGTCGTAGCAGGGCCACCCGCCGGGGGCATGACGACCTTACTACCCACTGTGAGCGGACCAGGAGCTGCATGACACCCGCCACCAGCTCCATCAGGTCCCTAGGTCCTGTCCACTCCACCACTAGGTGGGGGCTCTCACACGTCGCGACAGGGGGTCCTCACCCCCGGACCTTACCACACCTTTCCGTGACCTCCTTTAGTTTCCTTGTAGCTAGGGAGTGTCACGGGGGTCGGAAGGGGTCCACCCCTCTCCGCTGGAGACGGTCGTCCTATTCTACTGTCGCAGTAGGTGGCGGTCTACCGTCTGACCATCCGTTTTGAGCCGTCGCCCAGGGTAACTACCAGAATGTGTTCCCGGCCTGCTCCACAGGTTCCGTGGTCGGAGAGATCCCAGAAGTAGTCGACACTACAGTCGCGGTCGGAGCGCGGCCTCGACAAACTTTAAGGAACCCCACTCCCCAGAAACCGTGTCCATGGTGTGTCCTTAGAAAGGTGTCAACACCATGGGAAGGAAACGAAGTCCGAGTCACGAACTTTGTCTTCGAGGTGTTAGTGTGTGCGACTTAGACGGTGTCTAAACTCCTCGGGAGCTCGACTACGGTAGACCTGGGCGGCGAAGGGAGCGGATGTGAAGACGTCGAGGAGGGAGGAGTGGAACATCCCAACACTTCCTGTTCCACAGCAGTCGCCCACAAATCCTCCTCTTCTTGGCCCCCAACTACACTCTTCACAGACACT